TGCATAGAAAGATCCTAAAACGAGACACAAAACCCTAGCCATGGCAAATTCTGATATAGTCCACAAAAATGCAATTAAATGTTATAGATAGTTTGCAAATGCTTCAAGGAACAATAATATGTAAGTATTTCATGCTATAAGTTCCAGAATCATGCAATTCGAATTCAAGAAGAAGCCATGGTCGTGGCTGACTTATAGTGAGTTCTAGCGCCGGAAAGTGCTTGTTCTTGATTGGTACAACTTCCTTGCAATCCCAGGAATTGAAAGAGATGGCTAGGGGGCCTTGAAAACGTTTGGAAGTGTGAATTCAAGTCAGCACTTTTTCATCAAAATTTCAAGTTTCGTTCTTCCTTTGTGCGCCTCCAAATCTTGTGATTTTGGTTTGCAATTGTACCCTATATACCACTGATTGAATTAGGGTTGCAAAAAGTGGTCTCAATCTTTATCAATTATGGCTTTTGATCTTGATTTGATTCACTTGAAAATCCTTCCAAAAATAGGCCAAAACTAATCTTTTTGTGTCCACCTATGCCTTGCACGAATTAACTCACTTGCTAGCTGGATATAGGACCTGAAATGTGCACAAGATCTTGAGGTTTCAATGATTTGGATTTTTCATGATTTGTTTTGATTTAAATTGATTTAATTGAAATAAAAATCAAAATAAATAGAAAAAATAAGATAAATACAAATGGGAAGAGCTAGGGCTCGTGGACCATGCTACCAACTCAAAACAAGTGCAAAAAGTTTGGCCCATTTAGCAAAAATTGCAATTTGAGGCACTTTTGACTTTTGGCAATTTTACAAAAAAGGTCAATTTCACCAATGCATAACTTCCTCAATTTTGACTCTTTGAAGGTGTTCTTGGACTTTTTATAAAGCTTGAGATGTCCTATAAGCAACCCTTTTGGTATCATCTCAATTTGGTATTCCATGTTCATGTATGAAGATGTGACAAAAAAGGTGTTTTTGTTGACTTTTCAAAGTGACCTATAATGTCAAAATTCATAACTTCTTGTGAGTGCACATTTTGAACTTGGGAGCTGAAGATGGATTTTAGGGAATTGCATCCTGTTCAAAATGAGCTTTGTATGGGTCATTTATCATAAAGTATGAGAAAGTTATGCTTGGTCAAAGTTAAGTTGACTTTTCTTGTAAAACCCTAATTTAACAACTTTTGGGTTTTGATGAATTGTGAGCAATCCTTGATGGATCATGATCAACCATTGATCAAATGATGAATAATACTTCAAAATGAGAATGTTGACAAAAAATCTTGAAGTTTGAATGTATGTGGGCCACAATTGACTTTTGACCTAGCACAATCAATTTTTTAGGTCTTTGAGCAATTGACTGAGCAAACTTTCTCTGCAAGGCTTAAAACTTGACATGGATGACCTTGAGAACATATTAGGACAATGGTGAGAATTTGAGAACCTTTGGACTCAAACATATTGATGCAACATGAAACCCTAATTTTGAGGTAGACTGCCTTAGAAGAGAGCTTGTCTGGTCCACTCTTGGACTTCCTTGAGTAATTTGAGAACCTCACTTGAAATGTATTGAGGAATATGGGAGGACAAATTTTGGGGTACAACACATTAAAATGGTTAAAAAACACACAAAAATAAATAAAGTATTTTTAGACAAAATTGGACCCTTACACATTTTATTACAACATGATAAATTAAAATATTTAAAATGGGCCAGCAAACCTACAAGTCATGTCACATTCACGGGTTTGAATAAAATTGACATGTCTTGGTCCATTTCCTCTCAATTAGTCCATTGCTTCCATTGTTTTTATCATGAAATGTATTAGGGCGCCATTGACCCTCCTCGCACGTTCCCTTGTCACATGACTTCCTAAGCTTTGAATTAATTCATTTAAGTCTGGTTCTCCATGCCTCAATCACTCTTCTTTTCAAAACATGCTTTACCTTTGTTCCACCCATAATCATGTCTCCCATTCACTTAAAAACCTTCACCTTGATGTTTTCCTATACATTCTGTCTCCTTTAAGAACGAGACAATAGTGTAACAATAATTACACTAAGATTGGTATTATCTTTTCAGTAGGTAAGATTTATCACCAAGTGGTTGTAAAAACTGATAACAAGCACAACAATATGATTGTTTTGTTTTTGAACCAATCTTCACCACAAACCTTCTTGGATGTTAAAAATGTATAATTGTTGCTTCACGAAAAATGTATTCATCAATGAGTTAATCACATAATAACCCTCTAATTTGTCCCAAATCACCCTGAGAGACGTTGGGTGCGTTTAATTTTCTAAAGGATAATTAATGGACAAAACAATACAATACAAACCTTTAAAGTACTAGGCAATTTTTTGTCTTGTACGATGTTTGATGGACAATGAACATAACAAATAAAATAAAGTAAAATCGACTACATTACTCTTTATAAATATAAATATTAATAGAGGAGAGAGATAGAGATAGATAGAGAGAGAGAGAGAGAGAAAATGACACAAGGATTTGTTTAGAAAGTTCACCAATCATCCTCGCTATGGCTATGTCTCCCCCCAATTCTATTTTAGAATTGAGATAAATTTCTTACTTTGCAAAAAATGTTGATTACAAGAGAAGTATTCAAGAGCAACCCTATAAACCCTAATTGTTTGATGTTGATTCAACCCCTTCGCTTCTTTTGATCTTTAACAAGACCAAGACACAATAGATCCAATCTATACACCACTTCAGCTACTCCTTTGCAAGATCCCAAATCTCCAAAGCCTTCACTCGAGCGAATCTAATTGCGACTATTGACCATAAGAAATTTCAATGCGAATCACTGTCTCACGCTGTAGTGATGAAAATCGGAGATCAAGCTATTGATTAACTTGACTCACAAATAAACAAGACTCACCACCGCGCTTTATTATTTCCAAGGGAAAAGTGCGAAATAAAACCCATAAATATGCAAAGTAAGTGTAATACTAAAAATAAAGAAAAATACAATGCATTTGAAAAGAGATCGAAGGTTCGAGGATTGGTTATACAAAGGGAGGGTATTAACACCCTATGTATCTATAGTATCCTATAGGAGCCTTTTGAAATATCTGTTTTTTTGTTTGTTAAAATTGGCTTGCTTGCTATATGAATGTGGGAATGAGATTTTGAAAATGCGACGACCTAGTGTCGAAGTTTTTGGCTTAAAAGAGGTGCGAGTTTTTAAAATTAGGGTTTAGAAGAGATTTGTCTTTAGATTAATAAAACTAAAAAAATATACAAAAGGGTTTTCGCACAATCGTATTAAATATATTCGATGACATGAAGTCAATGAAGTCTATTTTTCCTTTGGAGTATATCACAAGCATCATTAAAATAATATTTGTCAACTCGTAGCAAAGTGATCGAACGTCAATCATTATAAACAAAACCAAATCATGGGTTGCATGAAGCCTTATCACAAATATTATAAGTATAACGTGACATTAAGGTTAAGAGAAAATATCAATAGCATGGCATCAACAATCAAAGTTTAACACCCAAAAGAAAATAAGATCAAAATAGCACTAATGTAAAAACACACATCTTGCTAATATATATTTTTATCATATAAAAAATTAAAATCAAAAGAGAAAGGGAAAAAGAAATTAGAAAATAAATATGAAAATAATGGTCAAAAGGAAAATACTGAGGAAAACCTGAGGGTATAAATAGAATAATTTAGATGGGCTGGAGAATTTTAAAGTTAGTATAGCCCAGAAAAATTAAATGAATAATAGTAAAAAAAATGACACGGGCCTGGACTGGGTCAGGCTGGACCCAGATCCGACTGGTTTATCAAAGCAAAAAGGGTTTAGAAAACCCTAAGTTATCTAGGCGCCTCTCATCGTTCAAACGAAAGCAGATGCGTGAAAACTGAAACCATTCTCTTCTTTGTGCCTCAATCATTCACTCTTTCTCTTCTTTCGTCGATTTTTTTTCATTCTTTCAACCACGTGCAAACAACAACATATGAAACTCTCTTAATTTCTTTCGCAATCAGTCTCACCTGGCTCAAACGCTCATCTTACTGAAGAAAATGACATCGTAGATCACTCTCTATTGCGATTTACTCGGTTCTCAACACGATACAAACGGAATAAAACAATAAAGCACAACAAAGACTTGAACAAGTGTAAATGGAAGCTAAAAATTACCTACGACGAGGAGATTTTCTCCGGAAAATATTGAGAGAGAGAGAGAGAGAGAGAGAGAGAGAGAGAGAGAGAGAGAGAGAGAGAGAGAGAGAGAGAGAGAGAGAGAGAGAGAGAGAGAGAGAGAGAGAGGACATTTTTAATAGAAAATAAAATGGTATTTTTGCATTTTAAATAACTTGTACTAACGACAAAAAATTGTCCCATAATTTTGTGAGAGACAATTTTTTTTACTTTTATCCAGTTCTTAATCCCGATTCTTATCTTGTCCCATGAATTTCTTTTAAATCAAACACATGATAAACAGAGTTGTCTTGTTCAATTTTTTAGATCAAAGACATTCCCTAAATACAAGATATGATACATCACCTATGATCAAACTCAATCTTAAACCTTCTCAACTCTATAATAATACATTTTTTTATTGAGTGTTTTTTTTTCTTTCAAATTTATTCTCAATTGCACTAATTTCTCTATTATTTTTATTTAATAATTAGCTATGATCTAAAACAACTAAATAACAATTTCTTAAATAATAATTTATTAATAAGTAAGTTTAAATATTAAATTAATTTATATAATTAAATTTAAATTAATTTATATAATTAAATTTAAATTAATTTTTTTTATAATTTATTGTGATGTGTATGTAGTTGCACGAAGAGAATACCGATTTTTTTAAAATAAAATATTTTTTCTTCAAAAACTAATCACTTGGCAAAGGAGAACTAGGAGTTTTGGTGAAACGCGTGTTCCACAAACGCCAAATAAATAAACGCCGCTTTTAATCTCTTACTCTGTTGCTGCTGATTGTATGGTCTGAAAGAACCAATGGCTACTGCGAAGATAGGACCCGGAGTGGCAACTATTCCCACTCACCGAGTCGCCACTGCCGCCGCTCTTTCCTCCGCCGCAAGTCCTCCCCCTCACCGTTTCATCTTCATCAATTCACGCCGCTCTCTCCGAACTCGTCTCTCTTCTCTCACACTCCGAGCCTCTTCCGAGACTTCTTCTACCTCCTCCTCTGTCGCCTCACCAGGTTAATTACTTGCTGTAATCACTCTCTCTTCGCTTTTGAATTATGATGAATTAACGCGTCTCTTACTCGTAATAGTCTTATCGGTGAATTTAATGCTTGCTTTTTGAAACTTATGCTTTAATGTGAAGTGCCGGAGAAAACGAGGTTGCGGTGAGTTGTTTTCGCATGTTCTTGCTTGAGGTTAAATTGTAATTGAGTTATGGTGGATATTGAGGAATGTGAATAAATGAGTAAATTGTGGCAACGTTGAAAATAAACCTGCATTGTTAATGTTTGTTGAGTAGCCTGTTTAGTTATGAAACTGATTAATTGATTAATTGTGTTGGATTGGTAGATTTAACACCTATTTTTGACGTCTAATTGAATTGAAGGCGGGGAAGTTTGAGAGTATGATGGCTGGCCTCTGTAGGACTGACAATTCTGAAAAAAATGTGTGTCTGTGACTGTATCGGTGTCCGAAACCGACACTGACACTTGTGATTACATTTAATTTATTCATTTTCTTGCAAATTATTATCGGTGTCGGTGTCATGTTTCTGGTGCCCCTAAGGCCGTTCTTAACAGAAGTCCCTAGTTCTATTCCTTTTTCTGTTCAGATAAGACGGTGGTGAGCAATCGATCGAGAGCAAGGGATCCTAGCGCTCTGATCCTCATATTCCTTGCTTCAGTTGGTTCAGGAAGCGCTAAGCGCACTGCACTAATAATAAGAAAAGCGTAGCTGTTCGACAAGTACCAACAGGCCGAAAATGACGTAAAAAAGGCTTTGCATACTCTAGAAGTCAATAGCAACCACTCTTACTGATGATATTCTATTCTTGACTTTCCTTGCACGCTTCATAGTTTCCAGGAATGTGGTTACATTTTATCACTTATATTTTCTTAAATTATTGCCGGTATCTACGTGTCGGTGTTAATATCTTGTCTGGTGGATGTGTTGTGCTTCATATAGGAATGGAATGTTAGGTATCAGTTAAAGGATTTGGAGATGGCTTTGGTAGTAGATGCAGTGGAGATTGACAAGTTGTTCTACTTGATTAATATTAAGAATAGGGGTACTTGAAATGGAAGTATTCAACACGTAGAGTTGTGAATATGATTATGGATTTTCATAATGGAAAGCTCAACTAGTGTGATTGTTTAAGTGTCGAAGCTTCTCCATGTGGGGACTGGTTGCAGTTTCAGTTAGACAATAAGCCAATAAATAGGGCAGCTATGTCACAGTAGTTATTGTTGGTTTGTTGCTATTATTATCATTGTATCCGTTTGGTGCATTTTCTTGGATCAGTGATAGGGTTGACCTGCTAGCATTTAATGACACTGTATAATGTTTTTTAAGTTTCTTCCCGTAGAAACATAATTGTCTTTTGAGAAGCGAAGTTATTGACTTGTCGGTTCTGGGTCTGAGTTCTTTCTTACTGTAACTGATGTAATTCTTGTTACTGGTTTTTCTTTTTCATTAGAAAAATAAGCAAAGTTGACAGTGGCATTTTTTTTTTCTTATAACAGGAAAAGGAGTTGAGAATGTGGTAATTATAGGTTCAGGCCCTGCAGGATATACAGCAGCAATATATGCTGCGAGAGCCAATTTGAAACCTGTAGTGTTTGAGGGTTACCAAATGGGTGGTGTTCCTGGGGGACAATTGATGACTACAACTGAAGTAGAGAACTTTCCAGGATTTCCAGATGGGATTACTGGACCTGATCTAATGGACAGGTACTGTATACACGTTATAAACCACTAGCAATGTTACTTTGTAGTTTATATTTAATTTACATAAATACCGGAGTTCAGAAATTTTCTACTTGTCTAGGATGCGACGGCAGGCTGAACGTTGGGGAGCAGAGTTGCATCATGAAGACGTTGAAGCTATTGATGTGAATAGTAGTCCTTTTACTATCCAAAGCAGTGAACGTAAGGTGATATATTCATTACAGCAAGCTTATTTACAATTTAATGACTACATAGAGACGGTTTAGGATTGTAACTTTTAAATGAATTGGTTCTTCGAATCTTCTTTGTGATATTAATCACTTTTATTTGGAGATTGACTTAATATTTTTTTTCATAATGAGTCCCGAAAGTCATCAAAATTACCGTCCATCTGCTGAATCATTGCCATCACTTTTGACTTGTATACATTATAAATTTTGACATTATCAAAAACCGTAATATCTTTCTAGTTTGGAAGAGAAGTTGTTGCTATGTTGTATATCACCTTTTCTTGATTACGTTCAGGTTAAGAGCCATACTGTAATTTTTGCTACTGGAGCTACTGCAAAACGACTTAGGCTACCCAGAGAAGACGAGTTTTGGAGTCGAGGAATTAGTGCTTGTGCAATTTGTGATGGAGCATCACCTCTCTTTAAGGGTCAAATTCTTGCTGTCGTTGGAGGGGGGGATACAGCTACAGAAGAAGCGTTATACTTGACAAAATATGCTCGTCATGTTCACTTACTTGTACGCCGGGACCAACTAAGGGCTTCTAAAGCCATGCAAGATAGGTGTGTCCGATTAATATCTCTCATCTCTCTACTTGGTAGCTGACTAGTTATAATTTTCTAAAAGAAGAACTAACTATGCAATGTATATTAAATTTTAAAGTGATCATACGTGTGAATAATCTAATTCTAATCCTACTATTATAATATATAATTTGAAATATTCTAAACATCAAATAGCGGTTGCTGAACATCAAATAGCGGAGGGTCACCGCTCCGGGCCAATATCCCGGGATAGCGCCTATAGCGGCCGCTATAGATTACTCTGATTACCAGCTCTTATACACTTAATAATGTTTCCATTTTAGTTTATCAATTGTCTCTTTCTCCTTCTCTGACACATCCACATTATTCCTACGAAAAATTGGAGTTTTATACAAACTGTTAGATAAATTTTGTAAAGATATGAACCGTGCGTGGCAAGGCTTTCTACCATTGAGCCTTAGACCTTCATATTTTTTTCAATAGTCATGATATGTTCTTTTTTTTCCCTTTCAATTTCCACCTTATGTTTAATTGAAGATATACATCTTGTAAAGTATTGTTTTTCTTTCCTTTGTTTTTGCTATATTTTTTAACATTGTTTTTTTGGTCTTCTTTTTTTATTTTCATATGCATTATACATTTGATGGGTGGTCAGTATTTTTTACTATTTACTGATTTGTTAGGCATTATGTTTATGTCAATAATTTTTGTGATAACAATGGGTATAATTAACTAGAAAAGTATTTCCTAGCTTAAGGTTTCTTTGTGCTTTGGCTTTTAACGTAGATGAAAAATTATATTTATCCTAATAACATAACATGTTTGATCATAATTCTCTTCTCACATGAAAAACCATGATCACTCTCTTTCTGTATCCCCCAAAAGTGCGAGCTTGCTAAATGTTTTACTGAATTCTTGTCTAAATTGTCATTTAATAGGATGTCATGAACTCCTGCTTTGAGATTATATATCTGGATTCTGTTATATATTTAGTGAGCTAGAGTTTATATCTTTTACATTATACATGATGAAAACTATCTTCTTTGTCTAGGCATTCTGAGTATTCTCTAGACTATACCCAACCAGTGCTTGGTTCTGTTAAATTCTGGGTTTGTAAAAGGGGAAAAAGAGTTTTGTATTATGTACTACTTCTTTTCTTATTTATTGTCAGTTTGTCATGGAGTTTTCTATTTGGACTTCTTTAAGACGGTGAATTATCTACTAATGAACATTTTGTATGTGAGTTTTCAACTCCTGAATGTTTGTTTAACAGGTTGATTATCACGAATGTTTCAGAGTGTATGACAATCCAAATGTCACCGTGCACTTCAATACTGAAGCCGTGGATATTGTAAGCAATACAAAAGGACAAATGTCTGGCATTTTATTAAGAAAGCTGGATAGTGGGGAGGAGTCTGTGCTCGAGGCCAAAGGACTATTCTACGGCATAGGCCATTCACCAAATACCCAACTGTTGAAAGGCCAAGTTGAACTTGACCAGTCTGGCTACCTACTTGTTCAGGAGGGCACTGCAAAAACTTCAGTTGAAGGTTTATTTGCTGCTGGAGATGTGCAGGTAACATAAGAATGCTTTTTGCTAAGATACTTGATTGTTATGATGGATGAAAAAAGTCTATGTTCGGAACAGTAAGAGGGGATATGATAGAAACAACAGTTATTTCCTCCGTCCCACAATTGCTGTCACAGTTAATCATTTTACAGACATTCAAAGATGGTAACTTAAAGAGAGCATGAGGATTTTATTAGTTTACCCATGTTAGCCACTAGAGTATTTCCATTATCTCCTAAATGTAAAGCGGAGAATAATAACCTCGGAGTGATGCACTTAATATTAATTAAATGGTACAATTGAAAAAATGTTATTAAAATTACATCGGAAACTAAAGCTGACACGATTTATAGGAATTTTGTGTGCAAATGTGATAGTTATTGTGAGACAGGGAATAATACAAAACAAAATTACCGCAGTAACTCTTTAGTTGGTCGTTGCACTTGTACATAGTAAGTAGTTGCAAAACTGTCAGGGGAGTCATTGGAGATTACCAATTGTTTCACAAGAAAGATAGAAAGGAGATTCCAAATCTCTCAAATGTTTGAGAAATGAGAGTTTTACCTTACAATTTTTATTCTGCAATGCTATTGATCTCGGTTCAGTATCACCTTGGTATGGATTCAGAGAATGTGTACAGATTCAGTTCCTTCACTCGTTCACTGCAGTTCTTTACGGTTCTAATACTATATACTACACCGTCTTCTTTGTTTGCCGATTTCCCTATTTATTTAGGATTGACTATGTTTCCCTATAATGTTAAGTATTTTGTATTAAGTCAATATCAATTTTTTTTCTTTCAATAATAACATTCAAAGTCCTTATTATATTTTCTCTTCCTTTTATCTAAAATCTGGTACCTTCAACTTGGTATCTAGAGCTTGTTTCGATCCTCTTACCTGTCTCATCACTATTCTGCCGCCGAGTTCTCAAAAGTTTGGGAATGAAATAAAAGTTCCATCTTTTCTAACTTGATCTTCTCGTTTGACTGATCATGACTTCATTGTTCAATGTTATCAAAATCTGCCATGGCAGATAGTAGAATTTTACAGACCGTCTTACAATAGCGATGGCGCTCCTTTTGTTGCTGCCCTTTAATAGTTTTTTTAGGCACGTTCTTTTGTCTGCTTCTTCGATGCTTTGGCCTCAGCATGTCTCCCAGATGCATTGGCTTCGTCTTCATCATAAATTCAGTCTGGCCTCATTTTTGTCTCAGGTACTCTAGCCTCAACTTTCGCCCCAGATGCACTGTCCCTATCTTCATTCCAGGTGCGCCGGCCTGGTCTGTGTCACAAAAGCAATTCTCAAACTTATTTACAGATTAAATATTCTAGGTCTCTGATACTATTGGTTTAAAGCTTCCAGATGTGGTTTTGAGAAGGCTGAAGCTTGCTTGTTCTATTGTTTGCCATGAAACTTCTTAGGCTGATGATCATTCCATCTGTCTGGCTATGCTTTTTTATAACAATTTCTCTGGCTATGCTCATTTTAAGGAGCAGGTGCAAAAGTAGGGCACCAGTTGACCAACCCCGTATTAGTATATGTTATACCATTCCATTAACAATCACAGCATGATGGCATCATTTGATCTGCATAAAATTCTTGAAATGCCATTTTAGGTGACATAATTTGGAACCGTTCCCTTAAAATCACTATTGCTGTTGATAAGCAAGCCGCGCATATTTTAATTAATGATTATGCAAATCTATTGAGCCATTTAGCATCTGAATTTATATTGTGATCTGATATTATATTTTGTATGAAAAAAGGGTTTACTGCTTAGGCGCCTTTGTTAAGGTTATTTCTTTTTATTTTAAAAGGACCACGAATGGAGGCAAGCCGTAACTGCTGCCGGATCTGGATGCGTTGCAGCTTTATCAGTAGAGAGATATCTTGTCAGCAGTGGTCTTCTTATAGAGTTCCATCAGGTATTTTAGTTAAAAGAGCTCCAATCTTACATGCACATATTTTTTCGTCTGTATATAGCATTGTAGAATGAGAAGTGGTAGCCTTGGTTCAACGGTAAGGTTGTTCCGTTGTGACCCTGGGGTCATGGGTTCGAACCCTGCTGGAAACAGCCTCTCTGTTATAAAAACAGGGGTAGGCTGTGTACCTCCGACCCTACAGAGCCCATAAAATGGGAGTCTCGTGCACTGGATTACCCCTTTATATAGCATTGTAGAATGAGTTGTTCATATCGCAGTTTCAATTTACTATATCTTTTTTGTTCATGTTCTTTATTTTTTGGCTTTGAGCAATATTACTGGCTTCTCTCATCTCATCAACATGCAATTAAATCATAGTTTGGTGACATGATCTGGTGCTAAACATGCGCCGCGTTGCAGCGGCAAATTTAGACAGAGAAACACAGAAACTAGAATGTGCACAGCACACACATTCCTTTAAAAAATATTAATACAGACCACCTTTGGCATTTAAAAAGCTATGTAAAAACAATTAACTGTAAGTTGTTTTACTGAGTAATGTGTTATCTATTGCTCTTCAGGAATCAGGATATTTTTAAAGGAAGGACATAGTTTTGAGAAAATATGAAGAATGATATACTAAACTATTATATTTATTGTGATATATACAAAAATCATTTCCATATGACCATAAGCTTTTAATTTATAGCTTGAAAAGTTATTAAAATAATAATTGGGAAATCACTTTACATTAAATCAGTTGATTCATTCATGCTGTATATTCCAATATGAATTCCACCCTTCCAATTTAATTCTTATAACAGCCCAAACATGAAGAGGTTAAGAAGGAACTAACAGACAGGGATGTTCATGCGGGCTTTGACATTACACTTACAAAGCATAAGGGACAGGTATGTATTCCTTTATCAGGTGGTTATGCTAATGATATTAAAGCCTTAGCATATGTTATCTCCAATCAGTTCCTTTATTATTTGATTCTTAATACATGATTGTTTTATAATACATTTTTTCTCCTGTATGATTGTTTCTTTACAGTATGCTCTGCGAAAATTGTATCATGATAGTCCAAGGCTTATATGTGTATTATACACGTCACCCACATGTGGTCCATGTCGGACACTGAAGCCAATCCTTAGTAAGGTATGCTAAAGAAGGAAGAATTTAAATTTATGTTATGATCCTGAAGTTAGATATCATAGTACTCATGGGCATGGTATTGTTAGCTAGTAACATGATACATGAGTACTTTCAAAGAATGAAGTATGAATGCACAATTGTCTTTTGTTATATGGCGGCATGGGACAGAACCTTATTTATTTTTGAAGAAATGAACTATGCTGCGTGATGCATCTAGACACATGCTCGTCAGGATTATATGTAAACTAGTGCCGTGCGAGTGCGACACACATATGTCGGCATAAGAATGTGGTCTATATGCCCACATTAATTAACTCTTATGCCTTTAAAAAAAAACATTAATTAATTCTTATGAAACTGTTGAAAAAATTATAGAACATGTTAGTTACACGTATAATGAAGAAGAATACACTGTCACACATTAATTGCTTTCAAGCAAAATGCGAATAGACACTGTTAAAATACGAGAGACTAAGAGACATTTGAATAAAATGTGTGTTTGAATAGCACAATTGAAGATGCATTATATAGGAGAAAATACAAATCCTAGTATTAATTACATAGATATCCTATCCTATTCTAGAATACACTAAGGAATATTTTAAAGAATATTCTAGAGATATTCTCTTTATATACATATACATATATAATTATCAACACTCTCCCTCAAGTTTGAGCATATAAGTCAAATGCACCAAGTTTGTTACATATATAATTGGTTCCGGGGCTTCGAAGGGATTTTGTAAATATATCTGTCAATTGATCATTAGAGTTGACAAAGCTTGTGACAATGTCGCCAAATTCAATCTTCTCTCTGACAAAGTGACAGTCTAACTCAATATATTTGGTCCTCTCATGGAAAATTGAATTTGAAGCAATGTGCAATGAAACTTGATTATCACAGACAAGTGTCATTGGTCTTGCTTCTTCAATTTGAAGTTCTTTGAGCAACTGTTTTAACCAAATGAGTTCACATGTTGCCATTGCCATGGTCCTATACCCTGCCTCGACGATTGATCTTGCAACTACATTTTATTTCTTACTTTTTCATGATATAAGGTTGCCTTCAACAAGTACACAATACCCAGAGGTGGATCGTCTATCAATTGGTGACCCTGCCCAATCAGCATCGGAGTATCCAACTATCTGAGTATGTCCTTTATCTTCATACACTAAACCTTTTCCGGGAGCACATTTGATGTATCTCAGAATTCAGATAACATCCATGTGTTCCTGACAAGGGGAATTTAAGAATTGGCTTACCACACTGACTGCAAAAGAAATGTCTGGACGAGTGACTGTGAGATAATTCAATTTTCCAACCAATCTCCTATACCTTCCTGAGTCTTATAGAGGCTCCCCCTGATTGGGTAGTAGTTTGACACTTGGATCCATAGGAGTATCAACTGGTTTAGCGTTCAACAAACCTGTTTCTTCCAAAATATCCATAGCATGTTTCCGCTGAGAAATCACCAAACCATCTTTAGATTGTGCTACCTCAATACCCAAGAAATAGCGGAGTTTACCAAGATCTTTTGTCTGAAATTGATTCGAGAGATGTTGTTTCAACTGGAGTATTCCCTGCTCATCACTATCAGTTATGACAATATCATCTACATACACAATAAGATAAATACATTCTTGGGCTCAGTGACGATAAAAGACAGAATGATCAGCTTCACTATGGACCATACCAAATTGTTGTACTACACTGTTGAATCTGCCAAACCAAGCTCTCAGAGACTGCTTAAGATCATAAAGAGACCTGTGTAGCCTACAAACCATATTCGATAACTCCCCCAGAGCAACAAACCCAGGTGGTTGCTTCATATATACTTTCTCTTCAAGAACACCATGTAAAAATACATTTTTTATGTCAAGTTGATGAAGAGGCCAATGTCGAATGGCCGTAATGGCTAGAATAAGTCTAACAGATGCCATACATGCGAGAAGGTATCACTATAATCCAACCCAAAAATCTGAGTGTATCCTTTGACTATCAAGCGAGCTTTGAATCGATCAAATCTTACCATCTGGACCAACTTTCACTGTATAAAGTCAACGACAACTTACTAAAGATTTTCCAGGAGGTAGAGGAACCAGTTCCCAGGTATCATTGTTTTGAAGTGCACACATTTCATCAATCATTGCTTACCTCCACTCAGGTGAGATAATGCTTCACCCGGAGTTTTAGGAATAGAAACAAAAGACAAAGAAGACAAACAAATATACTGCAAAGGGGAAAGACGATATAAATCAATATAATGTGGAGAAGGATTTCGTGTTTGACGTATACATTTTCGAAGGGCAATCAGAAGATCAGACTCAGGTTGCAGGATCAAATCCGGTGATGGCGAGAGCGTTGGAGGAGAGTCTGCAATGACCTCAGGGACAAGGTACAACAGCCGTTGGTTGACGACGCTGATATGTTTGAAGTGGACGAGAATCGGGGGGTCAACTGTAGGGTTATCTATTGGGCCAGGTTCCCTAGAATGATGAGGGATAATGACACATGGGACTTTCGGAAGAGGTGTGAGAGTACTCTCCTGAAGGGGTTCCAGAGTTATTTGGCTGGACGCGAAATATGGAACATACTCGAAGAAGGTGACATTGGCCGACATGAGGTATCGTTGTAGAGTATGTGAATAGTAATGATAACCTTTTTGGGATCAATGATAATCAAGAAAAATACACTTTAGTGATTGAGCTGGTAGTTTATCAAGACCAGGAGAGACATTGTGTACAAAACATGTAGACCCAAAGACTCGGGGAGGAATTGGGTGAATGGGGAAAAATGATTGAATGAGGAGTTTTATTGTTAAGGACAGATGACGGCATGCGATTTATAAGATAACACGCCGCTAACACAGTGTCCCCCCAAAATCGAAGTGGAACATTACCATGGAGAAGTATGGTCTGAGTGGTTTCTACGAGATGCCGATTTTTGCGTTCGGCGATCCCGTTTTGTTGAGATGTATGAGGGAAAGATGTTTGATGGAGAATACTATTACTGGACATAAAAGTTTGAAATTGTTGGGATAAGTATTCACGAGCATTATCACTTCTTAAGGTACGAATAGACACACCAAACTGAGTTTTTATTTCTTTATAAAAATTTTCAAAAATAGAAAATAATTCTGATCTATTTTTCATTAAAAATAACCACATGCAACGTGAAAAATCATCAATGAAGGTGACAATACCTAGACTCAAGAGTAGAGACAGTACGTGAGGGACCCCAAACATCGGAGTGAACTAAAGCAAAAGGGGACGGAGCTCGTTCATTGACTCGATTGAAAAATTGACTACGAATGTGTTTTCCTAACTGACACAACTCACAATGTAAATTAGATATCTTTGATAAACTTGGCACCAACTTCTGTAGGTTTGGAAGACTAGGATGACCTAACTGAGCATGGATAATGAGTGGAGAATCTTTGGCTGAGCATGTCTGAGATGACACTGAGAGGTAATAAAGGCCTTGAGACTCACATCCGACGCCAATCGTCCGTCCCGAACTCCGATCCTGCAGGGTGAGATTACTATTAGTGAATGTGACAATACAATCAAGAGAACGAGTTAAACGACTGACTGAAAGTAAATTAAAGGGATAATTAGGTACATAAAGAACAGAAGTAACAGAGAGAAGGTAGAATTTAAACAATACCAATTCCTTCGGATCGGGTTTGAGAACCATTGACAAAAGTTATAGTAGGTAAGAAACCAGAGGTAGAGAGGGAAGAGAAAAGATTTTTATTATCAGTAACATGATCAGATGCACTAGAATCAAGGACCCAAAGTCCAAGAGAAGATGATTGAGGCAAACGGATGAATTACCAGTATGTGCAACCGAAGCAATAAAATCTGAGTTCTGATAATTCTAATACCACCTGAGAAAATCATCGTAGTTTGACGTAATGTTCTGAGAAGTAGTCATGAGTATCAGATCTGGAATAGTTGCAAGGTGCCGAGTGGGGCGGTGAAAAAAAACGATGGGATTGACCGGATAGGAAGAGGCGCTTCTGCTGGTATGGTTAGTTTGCCGGAAGGTGACCGGAAATAGTAGCGGCGACGACGGATGGCGGCGACAGTCCGGTGGTGACTGGAGAAATTCGAAAATTGATGCCGGAATGAATCACGGCAGTGTAGGGAAGGCAAACCAGAGTTATGACACGGTTTGTCAAAAATTTCTCACCGGAAGACAGTGGATCAACCGGGTAAATCATGGTGAATGGTTGTCTCTCAGTAGGCTCTGGATACCATGTTAAAATACGAGAGACTAAAAGACATTTGAATAAACCGTGTGTTTGAAAAGCACAATGGAAGATGCATTATATAGGAGAAAATACAAATCCTAGTATTAATTACATAGATATCCTATAGTATTCTAGAATGCACTAAGGAATATTCTAAGGAATATTCTCTTTATATACATATACATATATAATTATATCAACACTAATAACTTCAAAACATAAATTGGATAATACCTCAGTGATGGATATATTTTTCCTTAGATCAGATATTTAAAAAGAAATGCCACAACAGAAATAACATTAACATTAACTACATACAAAACTTCAAAAACAGAATATTCAGATTCTTCGTAGTTGTTTCATAGTGCTGTTCGATTTAAACTGATCTTCCTCAGGATGAACAAGCTCTATATCCTTTAGGAGATACTTCAGAACTGAATCAGTTTCTATGGGAGGTTTAGAGTATTCATTTTCATGTAGAAATCATTACCACCCCCATACATCAGTTGCTTCCAAGCACCCCTGTAAGGTCTCTTAGTGCATGAGGAGAATGTAGAGGCTGATAGAAACCCAGATATAGCAGTATGAATTAACAGAAGAAATACAATTCAATATTCAAACGGTAGTGTGTTCTCAAACAAGGAGATTATAGTGAAATGAGTATTCCTGTCCAGAGCTCTTCTTCGTAGAGCAAAACTCCTCTCTACCATTAACAAACTCAATGATTCTCCCTGATGCCTCATTATCCTCTTCTCTCCCTTATATATCAGACTCAACTTTCTTTCTCTCACTATAGCAAACACTGCCTCCCTCCCTCTTACTGGACCCCTGGACATTTGGGCTTATATGTATAGATCAAGGATCCCTGGACATTTGGGCCTATATTATGTATAGATCAGGGACCTATCAATACCACCCATTCAAAATTCTGCATTGTCTTCAAGACCTCAAGGCAGGAAAAAAGAATCTGCACTGTAACAGCTGCTGCCACTTCCCAACCCTCCCAGCAGAAGAAAGGGTTCTGCTGTTTGTTAATATATGCTTCCTCCTACATGACTTCACAAGCAAGCACTACTTCATTGGGCTTCACAATAGATCTTGTTGTCACTGGTTGGTCAATCATGGAAGTAGAAAATGGAATTTTGAAACATTTTTCATTATGTACCTCTTTTGTGTAAATCCTTCCAAGTAAACCAAGTTCACACTTCAGTTTCAACCCAACAGTTTTGATTTCAGTAGCCTTTACTTTTGCAAAACCAAAAACATCTTTTAACTTCATATTCAGTAACCTTGGTGGATTAGTTACCAAGGGACACACTGTTTTTGTTACGCTCCAATCCAAGGAATAATCCTCTTCTCTATACACCCTTCATGCTCAAGATTTGACATTTAAAACATGTATTATTCTCAATGGAATAACATTTATCTCATATAAGAGAAAATGTTTAGTGGTTATATGATGCACGACTTAGTAACTAAATGAAACTACTTTTGCTTCCTTTTTTTGATAGTATTCCCAATCTTAAATTGAACAGTAATAAGGTTTTTCCAAAATTTTCCATGGCAGGTAATTGATGAATATGATCAGAGTGTACATTTTGTTGAAATTGATATAGAAGAAGATCCAGAAATAGCAGAAGCAGCTGGAATCATGGGTACTCCGTGTGTGCAGTTTTTTAAAAACAAGGAAAATCTTAAGTTAGTACTACTTGATCTTTTCTCTTATACTTCTCATTTATCATCTCCATTAAGATATATATGGTTCAAGCATGAGTTTGTATCATGTTTCCTCAAAGAAAAAAACATTAACTGTTAATTCTTATCACCATAGAAATATACACTAATAAAGTGACGAGATTGGGAGACCACTGTGACTCGCTTCATGGATATTCTTGCTAGTCTTGACTGCTGATGATTTACATTAATTTTGCAGGACTGTTTCAGGCGTTAAAATGAAGAGAGAATACCGAGAATTCATCGAGGCGAATATATAGAAGTACATACAAACATTCGAGGGTTATCCCGAATTCCATGATTCAATTTTGTTTTCCAAATTGGCCAGCTGAATAGTGCTGTCAGTTTTGACAACTATTCCTTGAACTGAGCAGCATTTTCTTAGATTGTACATGTAGAGATACCAGTTATTGTTGTAATTTTGATTGTTCAATATTACACTTTTCTATTTGAATCTAGCAAGTTCAACTACAAGCTTCTCGTTGACGACAATGTGGCGAGTGAAATGACTGTAATCATCCAAGCTGAAATGACCGCTCATATTTATTATTTTTTCACACTTTAATTGCTAAGTTCATGTCAAATTTAATGCAACCTATCCTAGACTTGTTTAGGCGAGCAAGAATTTGACAATTCCAAAGCTGCATTTCTGACTTTGGGTTAGCCTAGAATGGTTATTGTACCAAACTACCTACCAATTGATCATTATTCTTGTGCGGAGTATTTATGAAAATATGTACAAATAAAGTTATAATTTATTTATTTTTTTAAATTAAAGTAGATTATTACAAATGCTTTTAATTTTAAATTAAACTATTATGTGGGAAGAGTTTTAATTTTATGTAAAGCTATTTTTTTAAAACAATAAAATGTCAATTATTACAAGTGCTTTTAAATACTTTTATTACATAAATGTGATGATTATTTTTTGAAATTATCAAAACGGAACATGCCATGTGAATTAAACTATAAAAAGAAGTTTTGTAATGACAAACGTTAATAGCATAAACGAAGTTTTTTTGAAAGAGTTATCAATACATTAGCCAGCGTTTTTTTAGACATGAAATAGAGTTATGTTGAGTCAATATATTTATTTTAATTTTCAAACAATTTATATTGAAAATTAAATTATGCATTTGTGTAGGATTTGAACTTTAGTTATTGTTTTAAATGTTTATTTTTATGATTATATTACATTTGTATGACAATGACTATAATTTGACTTGTGATTTGTTTGAAATAAATTATTTAAAATAATATAAAAACAATTCTAGGTTGATTATAGAAAAAATAATTTATTTTTAATTTTAACTTAAATTTAAGATGGGGGGAGTATAATATATTTAACATATACCTATCATATATTTTATCTTAAAAATAAATTAAAATCAAATAAAAAATTATTATTTATATTTTTACGGTGTGTCACTAAAATAAGATTCAACGTTATTTTATATCAGAAATAAGTAGGGGTGACAAAACGGGTCCGGTCTGTTAGGTATGTGTTCACCGTGTTTTCTGGTGAACAACCGCTGATCTTCCAAAAATGGTAATTTTTTGGTTATTCGAAGGATCGATCAGTTTGATCTTAGGACATATGTTAATTTTTGATGTTGTTTGGACGTAAACGTTAATGTGGGTGAAGAACGCAAGTTCGACTAGGAAAGGGATGAGTTTGAGTGTAGAAACTAAATAGAAAGAAGGGGTTGAGGAGAGGTTAGGTGCAGGAATTTGGGCAAAAGTGCAGATAAAATGCAAACAAGATAAAAAGGAAAGAAATGTAAAGAGAAAAATAAAAGACTTTGATTATAAAATATGGTGTTTCAAACGTATATTTTTCAGTATTCTTTCTCACGCAGCGGATACTTGAATAGTATTGAATAATTTGTACGATCAGTTGAACACCCGAAAATCTACATAAACTTCCTATATTTATACTAAAATTAGATAACCGTCGAGGACTTGCCTTGCTGCAGGATGAAGACAAGTGTCTTCTGCATGCGCTTCGATCCCTCTTTTCACGCCACGTTGCTTTCCTCAACTGCCAAGCGAACTGCCTTTCCCGCCTTTCTCCAGATTCAAAAATCTTCCGGGGCAGATACGAAGTTTCCTTTTGGTCGAAGACTTTGGAGTCCCTTCAGTCGAAGGGATTGAGAACCTTCTGGTCGAAGACTTATTTTAACTTAGAATTTCTCTAAGTACTTTTCTACTTTGTCGAAGCTTTTCCAACTTAGACTTGTTCAATCTATTTTTGGCCCATAAGGCCAACTTGTTGTAGGTGTCGAATTTAGGAGCTAACAAATTGCCCCCCAAGAATATCAGTTTCGACGCAAGGAGAGATGATTATTCTTTGAGATTCCCATTCGACATCCGTCTTTCTTTTTTTCCACAGAAATCGCTTGTGTGCTTTTCTCCTTATACCAACCCATGCTGATATTCAGAGTCATCATTACCTTTTTCCCAACACGTCGCTGTCAATCAGCCGTTACCACGCTGTCATGATGGCCATTATCCCTACAACCTAAGAAAGTATGACAAACGTTTTCATTTCTCGTACGATAACCGATTTAATGTTCTCCATGTGCCCCATTAACTCTACAACATTAAATGGTCTTGGAGAAAACACTCCTTCCTGAACACTATAAATAGACGAATCTTCTTTTGGGAATTCTTTTACAACTCCTAGTATTCTTCACTTCCTTGCAAAGAAAAAAATCTTAACAACTTTGTCTTCTTCGCTCTTTCACTACTACTTTCAGCCATGGCCTTCCTTTCCAATGCACCCAACAATCCAAAAACTAAGAACGTTTCTGATCTTCAAAGACAACCAGAGGTTTTCTCTACTAACCCTGTACCTGTTTCGACTGGGGAACAAAGGGTCGTATCTGAACCCATGGCCAAAGAGTGGCGTGATGCTTATGAATCCCAATTGCTTATCCCTGTTAGGTATTCTGGGCAAATGTATGCTATGTCTGGTCCATTGTCTTCATGTTTCGAGAACCCAAAACAGAATAGCAACTTCTTCCTAACTCAACCTAGGCTCAAGCCTATAGGTTGTGAGAAGAAACTCAGGAATGATCCTGAAGATGTAACTCCTGCCAACCAGTAACATCCTCAAACGAAGGAAGATATCAACCTTCAGTTCATGAACAAGGGCAATAGGATCTTTCGATCTTGTCCTAGTCTTACTTCAGAATACTCAGAATGGCTGAGTAAGATGGAACAAGTACAAGCCCAAATCTGGAAAGATATGGGGATCTATGACTTGATCATGCTGTCGAAGACTGGGCTAGCTTATTACCCTCTCATGCTGGTGGCTTCACTGTATTTCTGGGACAACACCCATTTTACCTTCCATTTGCCTTGTGGAATGGTAACTCCAACTCTCTTTGATATAGCTGCCATTACTGGTCTTCGACCAACGGGTGACTACTTCGATCCTGAGGATGTATCTGAAGACCCCATCGGGTTTTCGGCCACGAAGCCCACGTATACCGTATTCATCAATCATTTCCACGACAAATCGAGTACCGCTGTCTCTGAAGTGGAGCACATATCTTTTCTGGCTTTGTGGTTATCTCGTTTTGTTTTTTGCACTAAGTCACTTCAAGTGACTAAGAAAATGCTTACTCTTGCAACACAACTTCACCATGGTTATCCTTTTTGTCTGGATGAGTTGATTCTAGCCAACCTGCATGAGTCCATCAACAATGGTGTGACTCAACTTAAGGTTATTGGAGATAAGGCGAGCTTACTTCTTTCCGGCCCCTTTTGGCTTATGCAACTTTGTCTAAACGCCACATTTGAATCTTTTCTTCCACAGAAGAATAAGATTAACGAGAGGGCTCCAGAAGTCCTGAATAGAAGGGTCGAAGGGACTAGACTCGTCCTGTTGACTCCAACTGACGAAGGCCAACAATTCCAAAAGGCGTTCACCAGCTTTGTAATGATGTTTGCAAAGAGGAAGGAATTTGTTTCGACCATGGCTCCCTTTGCTAGTAGAAAGGTTGGCCCGGAATGGTTCATTCGACCATACCCTTCATCTGACGAAGATGACTATGTGGATGAATATGTAGCTATTTGGGAGTCGTTTCTTCGACCGAGAATCATGCCTCTGAGATTCAAGAGTTCAAAGAATCAACTTAGCTTAATTTCTTATCAACCGAATCTTGTCTCTCGATAATTTGGTATTATTCAGTCGCTCCCTTCACCAATCTACTCTCGAGAAAAGCTTCTGCTGTTTTACAATGCAGACTACTCAGAGGATGCTGCTACTAGGCATATTGGTAGGTACGTTGGTCGAACCGTACTAACTCTGTTCGACTTCAATCTTAATTTCTTGTGTTCGCCTCTCTTTGAGGACTGGTGGAAGCAGTATTATAACGAAGAGTTTTTTGACGAAAAAGACTTCGCTGCTCACCTTCAAGAGGCGTTTTTGCTAGTCCCTGACAAGATAAAAAGGGTAATCTTCTTTAACCAAATGTTTTTATCATCTTCAATCTAATCATTCGACACCTAATTTATCCTTGTTCATTTTCTAGCGGTCAAGAGGATCGTCACCAAGAAAGTCGTTGAAAGCGCAAAAGGAGGAGATCCTTCTGTGAAACCTTCACCCAAGGTAAACACTTTATGCTTGTTATGTATTTCTTTCCAACATATTACTTTTGACGCTAATGCTTTCGACTCCTTTCTTTCTGGTCATTTGAAATCAATCTGTAGAAAAGGAAAATTCAAGAAATTGAAATTTCCAGTGATGAAGAGGAGGAATCTCCTCTTGTCCCCTTAAAAAGGCAAAATTTAAAGAAAGCAGCCCCCGTTCCTGAGCCTCGCCCAAAGACCAAGGTCAAGGTTAAAGTCATTGGGTCGAGACCTCCTCCTGTCGTCATCAGAGAACCAATGGAGCAGGAGATAGCTGTTAGGCTGAACAATCCTAGTGAAGCGACAACTCAAGTCCTGGCACTGGAATTCTGCCTAAGGTAGTTACTTCGACCCCTCATGATTGTTTGCTGACTTCTACTTCTTTTTCCTTTTTTAATAGTTCTGATAACCATCTTGTAATATTCAGGACACTGATGGTTCTTCAAAGCAGAACCTCGTAGAAGAATCCGTCACCTTGATAAACAGTGAGGGGTGATCCTACTTACAGGCCAAAAGGATCTTTTGTGAGTTCTGCTAGTGAAGTGAACCAAACTTCTGGGCACGAAGCCGTTGGGAATCCTAATGAAGAAGTTCCTAGTGAAGGGCATGTGAATCCTGGGAC